GGTCCTCAAAGAAAAAATCCTATGCATACAATAAACTGCCCTTGCCTTGAGGAGATACGCTCAAGAACTGGCATCTCTTTTCAGATGTATATGTGATAAGGCAATTATAAAGATAAGGGCCGACAAACTAACATAACATCACTTTCACACCTACACACAGAACTTTAGGTAAAATGTATAGAGTCTACTATACAAAGAATTACGAACCTCTTCTTTTGTCAGGACTACAATCTGCGACATAAATGAAAAGAGCGACTTTCAGCGCAGACACGACGCCGCTCAAAAAATGTCCCATCACGAAAAATTCGAATCGGCGAGTGATAAAAGAGAGTACCATTGAAGCAGAGCCAATGATTCCAAGCGAACATCTAAATCGAAATATTTCAACCAACAGCCACCTCGGTTATCACGTAACATATTTGCTTTTACAGCCTCTTATGTTGTAAAAAAAGGGCCTAAAGCTCTTTTACCGTACGGCGACTCACTAATTTTTGATTGATGCTGGGAGGCATGAGACTTCAATTTTTTAACATTTCCCTTCTATATGTATATTAAAGATAGCCGGGTAATGATATGGGTTTTTTTTACCAAAGCGCAACAGGAACGATTTTGCTGAGCGAATTCTTAGCAATTGTTTATAGTTCATCGCGCGAGCACTTGCGTATCCAGTCGCGACCAAAACACAGTACGAATCATATCTATAAACAGCGAAAGATGACCAAATTACGCATCAAAGTCGCTTGAGGTGCTAATTTAAGAGACCAAGCCTGTTAGGCAAAAAAGTACTTGCGTAACGTACGTCATCATTCCAATAGCTATAGGCCGCTAAAGAACTTTACAAAATGACATTGTGACTTTAACGTTTACGGATATGTCGTAAAAGCTCAGTGCAGATTTTCATAAACAGAAATCTAATAATCTAGTAAATGTTGCGTTACATTACAGCGCCAGGATTCTGCAGCAGAGAGGCTTAAAAATAGACTATAGAATATCTACAACGATTTTTGCCCTGATCTCTGCATATGCGAAAAATTTTGACAAGTCTGTTTTTTTCAGATTCTTTTCTCTTTCTTTTTGCATAAGCACAAGAAAATATTTTTTTATTCCAAGAGGGACATAAAAATGACGCAATGTTGCCATTTAGAGTTTCGGTAAACACATAGTCATTAGCTTCAAGAAAACACAATGTTTTAGTATTTTGCCTCAGCAGCAAAATTGTGTTTGTTAAAATGTGCAGATGGAGCAAAGCAGGAAGGTTATTGGCTGGAATTATGTCTGAGTGTTTCATATAGGGTTCATTCCTCATTTGAGTTTCTATGCGCCATTCAGATCCCTTACCTTATTGTAATAGCCGTATCCTTTGTTCCAAGCACTTCCATGAGCCGACTTATTATCAAGAATCCTACCAACACGCCAATCATCATTGTAGAAGCAGAAATAGAGTAGAGTAGTTCGAGCCTGTACCAAAATATTTTTTGTCTAAAGACTCGCTACTTTGCCAATCACAGTTCTAGAATTTTATCATTTTTGAATTCTGTACTTCAACATTTCTGCAATCTCTTCTTCAGCAAACTTTCCAATGATCGAAAAAGATTTTCTTATCCAATAGTCATCAAAAGTTTTGGGGAAGTACTTACTTCGAAAGCTGTTGAATGACCACAAGTACTATGTTTTTAACGAAGAAAACTGGTTTTTTTGTGAAGTTCGATCGTAAAAGTAAAAGAGACCAACAAGAGACCAAAGCAATGGGATGAACTGAGAAATCAATGTCAAGGAATAAGAAATATGCAAACCATTTAAAAATAAAGTATTCACTCACTGTTCGTCGTTGAGATTATAAGAGGAGGAGATACTTTCGTTGAAAATTTTCCTTATGGGAACGTTTAGCAGATTCAAGCAAGCCATCATCACATCTCCAAACTGGGACAGCACCGCATGAACGAAAAGAACGAATGCCAGGTGAGACATGATGGGCCTAGAGAATATTTAGGATAGTCGTATAAGTTCCGCCAAGAAATAGCAAATACGTCAAGCAACATTCTTGTTATGGAAAGTGGAAGATAGCAGAGACTTTAATCTAGGCTTTTGCGGTGAAAAACAAAGAAAACCGAAAACAGAGACCACAGGCGTAGACGATCGGCTGATAAGACGTCCTTTTCCAGTGAC